CAAGGAGATACGACATATCTCATTTGGAATGTAATTTTAACCACTCTAGTCATAATTTTATTTTATAAACATTTCAGATTAAACTTAACCGTTCTAGTAATACCCACGCTAGGTTTAGCCCTTAATCAAGAAAACAAGGAACTACTTGAACAAGGATTAACTTATTCCAAATGGACATTTTTAGTTTTGTTTTTTATTATTTTAATGATTATAGTTCTATATTTCCGATGTAAAAAAGAAGCTCATTACCACAGCAGCCGCAAAGTGCATTATAATCCTCACAGAAAACGTTGGTTATCAGTGATTCCTGAAGAATCCAGCCACGTAGAGGAGCGCGAGGTGCCAGCAGTAATCCACCTTTCCAGTAGTTGGCGGAAGTCTTTGTTCAACAGGAGGAACAGAGCACATCTCTATAACAGAAAAGCGAATGGGATAGCGTACCAAATCGCTTCGAGACCTTCTCCAAGAAGTAAACTAACTCAAGGGGAATATCGACGTACGTATGATACTAACCACTTGCAAATTTTCTAAAATCGCACTAATCAAAGAGTCACATTAAAAGCAATTAAAGTAAATATGGAAAATGAGAATGCTTAATGATAATTTATTTTTTTTTATAAGTCTCAGCAGATACTGAGCACAGATAAGGCTAGTTGGCCATAACACTTTTCTTTCCACTAAATCGATCAAAATACGTGATAAAGCTAGAGTGCTGACATTCACAAGAAAGACCTACAAAACAATTTTTAAAGTCAATCACCCTCCACGAGCTCAATTAGGGAGGACAAAATTTACAGGAAGCCAAAATTACCAAACCTTTCCGTGAGTGTTAAGCGCAATGTTAAATCGCAACCAATATTGAATGGTGGAAAGAATAAACAAATCTGTTAGTGCGTACAAAGTACAATAATAATTTAAAGTTAAAGGAGAATTACGTTTACAGTTTTAAAGGAATTAAATAAGAGAAATAGATATTTGAAGTTTTAAAGAGAATTTAATTTAAATGTATGAGTTAGAAAACAATTAGTAAGAGAAGAATAAAGCGAATTTTAAGTTAAAGTAAGAAAGAAAATTTATTATAATCTAATCATGTTGTGGTTTTTGGTATTGATAATTAAAAGTAGCATAGGAACCAAATGAATTATTTCCGTTATTTGCAAAACAACCCTTCAACGATAGAGGAAAATATTCTGTTAAACGATGGAGAGTTGTTTGATTTTCAACTAGTCACACGACATCACTTAAATAAAATATTTGCTAGTGATTACGAAATTAATATTCTCATAAATAAATTTAGTAAGAGAGATCATGTAAATGTACGAGAAATTACTTTTCCGAATTTTATGTATGATGTAAATAATTTAACTTGCGCGGATCAGAAACTAAAAGAATTAGTTATATTAGAATTGACACAACTATATGAAAGTACGAGATCACTCGTTATGATGTGTCAATTGAAACGCTTAGCAATAGATTTTATGCCTTTAGAATCGTTAGGAAAAATTTTAAATGATTTAGATAGAGATAGAACTAACCACGACTATGTTCTAGCTTTGGGGTCAATGACTCAACTGTATACGATGCCCTTAGTTGAATGTATTATGTCGCAAACAACCCTTTTGGTCGGAATCCACGTACCGCTACTAAAACGAGAACTCAGAGGACTTCAAATGATTCAAGCCCTCACACCCACCTACGCTTGGGATAACTACACCTGTTCCGTGAATATACCCGTGTTGAATACTGCAATACTGCAAAACAATTCCGTATGGAAGGTATTCGTGCCTATCTGCGATCCAATCAGGGAAGAATTGTGTTTCGTAAGCGATTACCGGAATGAAGAAAATCTCGGTGTCGCGTGCATTCAACAAACCCTGAGAGGAGGTTCGTTTAAGCAGCTCGCAACGAACTGCCCACTCACCTGTCGAGATACTGGTAACGTCATACAACTGGTCACACCTGTCAGCAGTCACCGCACCTTCGTCACACATCAAAGGAAATATCTACGACTCAAATGTGGTGAAGTCATGCATACTCTGGAAAACAAAGAACGAGTAGGCGCTCTTAGCATTGATGTTCCATGCAACTGTCACTTGGAGGAAGAAGGCAATCCGATTAGCCCAACGTACCCTTGTGCAGACAAATCAATAACTTTTGGCTACCATCAACTAGTACCTGCAGCATGGAGTATCTATAGCGACCTATCACTACCCAAATGGGGATACAAGCCATTATACTTCGACAACCTCGAAACGTGTCTCAATCATCAATGGATAGAACAACAATTTTCCAATAACAAGATAGCAGTCAATACCTATCTTATCATTGTACTATTCCTATTACTTTTCATCCTTTTCACAAGTTCCGGATATCTATTTTATAAATTACATACGTTCAATCGCTTACCGCTACCGAACCGTACTCTTACTCAAACCTTTGAGAGAATTCCTAAAACTATCCTAGATACACAAACAAATCCTATGAAAATCAGAAGACTACTAGTAAACCCCACGGAGGAACATCATTATGAGGAAACCGATGGTGCTTATTTACAACCACGACAGCTACAACGGCCATGACCACCCAACAAGAATAAACCGTTACCAAGTCCACCCATACTCGAAAGGAATGACTACGGACCACACCCTAAACCGGAAGTTAGCAGTTCCAAAACCCAAGAAGACTCATCTTATGTGACAATGGACAGAATGGCAGCAATATGTCACCCAAAAAACACCAGTGTAGTGTAGTGAACTTCAAAAAAACTGATTTATACGTTACATGTAAAACAATGCTACAAGTCACTCGCGAATTAATATTTTCGTGTGTTCTCATAAAATTTCACTTAGAAACTAAAAGAATTCGACAGTGTTTAGTATTATCTAAGAACTAACGAACTTTGCGGTCGTGTGGTTTCCGAAACAAAAAAAAAAAAACTTTTAAGACATTAATACTTTTAGTTTTATGTACCCAACTGTGATATTTTTTTTAAACTATTATTTTTTGTCTATTCTAGATTTAGTTTACTCAATGTAAGGACCACTTAGCTTTTAGATACATTATTTTTATTATTGTACTTAGGCTAAGTTAGATATAGAGACGCACTGTTCACTGCCTGACATCCTGCATCGGTACAACTCGGATTACTCTTGCGTTTGCTTGGAGATATCTTTTGCTTGATTCCTTGAGGTCAAGGAATTTTTATGAGGGAGGCAAATGTCACACAGTAGAAAATCAATGAATGAATTTATCCAATGTTTAATGACTACATAATCATAAATCGACAAGAAATTACTCATGGAGATTTCACTCAAAATCCAAGTAGTCATCTTCCTCCTGATATTGGTAAAATAGCCTTGTACTATGCAATCACGTAATTGTGTAATGAGAATTTCTAACCACTGACAGGATTCTGTGGATGATCAAGGTTCTGCACGTGTTAGCACTTTGCTCACCATAGGGTGTTGTCAGGAGGATAGACGCCAAGAGTATGAAGAGTTAAATAGCAGATGAGGATTGCAAAGAGGACAGTCGGTAGTACACAGTGCCATACAATAGTTATAATCTTCCTACCAGAATGCAAAGGTAAGATTTTGTAATATTTGCTTCAGCTTACACTTAAACAATAAACCTTTAAACAATGCAATTCTCTATCTGTAACTACGATCCCCAATTATAGTCACGTCACCTCTCGTATGCATAGAGCTACCCCCTAGACGTGACAGTATTTATGACTTTCCATCTAGAGATCAGCATGTCGTTGAAATTCACATTGATTGGGATGAACGTTGGCATAGAGCAGATGTAAATGCACCTCCTCCTGGTTATGCCAGTTATTTCCACACCATATTACATGTGTAGCGGACGAAATTTCCGGAATTAACTTCTTGTAATTACGTTGCACTAATGTGCATAACACACTGGACCGACAAGTAGTTTAAATATTAAGGGTCTATTCTTTAACCGAAAAGGGTGTTATTTACTTCCTGGGAGTCATCCGAAATGTATTTGTTGCACATGTGTTACACAATCGGTAGTTTCGGACAGTAGTTACACAACTTTTGTAAAGATAAGTCGAGTTCGGTTCAGCGATTCATAAGATTCATTTTTGATTCTAAAATAAATTATATTTAAGTTGTATTTATTTTAGGTTCACTCGTATCTACAACCACAATTGAAGAGTGGAAATTCAAAAGGGTCTATGTGCCAAGGCCAATAGCATACAAAACGGTCTATGTGCCTTACACTTTTAGCTAGTTATTATGTTGTGACCTGAAACCTGCTCACGGTCTAAGCGCCGGTGTCTACTTTATGTTAAAAAGGTCTAAGTGCCAAATGGTTAACATCATCAGTATACAAAATGGATGCACGTGGTTATGTACAACAAGGCGATGTTAGATTAAAAAGGCGCCAAAAAGGTACTGAAAGCGTGAAAAAAGAAAGAAAAAGATGCAGAGCTAGTGGCTTGCAACATACAAATTATAAAATAGTATATTGAAAGACAAGTGTTACAATGCGACCTATTGTAATACGACTATCTTGTGGCACGAGTGGCGACGCGAAGCGTAGGCACGAGTGTCCGCAAGATAGGAAGTATTACAATAAAGCATTGTAACACGCGTTTTTCATACTATTTTTTCTATTTCGGTGCTTTAATTTAATTAAAAAAATCATTATCAGAAACTAGGGAACATTAGAACTAACATGTTTTATGTTGGGAACACTTTTTATGCCGTTAAGTTTTAGGTTGGCAGCGTAGTAAGACTGACATTTTGAAGTTCAAACATGGAAGTACCCAACAAAGTACCTACTTGTACTAACTAGTAACTGCCAACTTAAGAGGTGAGTTACCAAAAAAAACGACTATAATCACTGTCTTTGTACAACTGGCCGAAAACAGTTGTACAAAATCATCATTGTGACACCGAAATAAAAGCTTGTCATTTGTCGGGCTAAAATCCTCCGTGAACTAGAGGTAAGGCGCAGCTGTTTACTTTAAGTCAGTGTTTTTCAACCTGTGGGTCGCGACCCCTAGGGGGGTCGCGAAACTTTATTAGGGGGGTCGCCGACAAAAGGAAAAAAGCAAGGTTCTACACTACAATAGAAACACAATTTCAGTGAGAAGGTTGGGATTGTTTATTTTCCAAAAGTTTTTCAAATCGTGGTGCTATTTTAGAAACATTAATAATCAAATCATTTTCTAATTGAAGTCTATTTCTCTTTTTAGTTTTAATGTCCACCATTGAAGAGAATGTCAGTTCGCATAGGTATGAAGTGGCAAATGGTATTAATAATTTTAGAGCTTCCCTTGCCAACTCAGGATATTCTTGTTTTCTTTTCATCCAAAACACGTCGACACTTTGCGAAAGAAATTCCATTTTAAGCATACCGTCAGCGGCTAAATCTATAAGATTTTCTTTAAGATTTGTGTTGAGATCAGCCAGTTCTATTGACTTATCCAAGAATGGATTTAGAACCCATCTATGCCCATTGTCAGCTTCAGAGTGCAAGTCTGGAAAGTATGTTGATAGTTTCTCTCGCAAATTATGCAAGCTTTGTGTCATGCAAGGAATGTGAGCCCTTACCACAGATTGATCTGTTGCATTATCTTCAACAATCTTCTGAATACATGGAAAAGACTCAAATGTATTGTTTTGCAGAGAGGTTGACCAGAAATGAAGTTTTGCATGAAATGCTTTGACTTTATCTTTAGCGGTTAGAATATTTTCTTCTCTGCCTTGGAGATTCTTGTTTAAATTATTAAGGTGGCTAAAAAGATCTGCCAGAAATGCTAACTTCAAGAGCCAAACAGGATCAGAAAAATGATCAGCATATTCGGATTTAGCATCTTGTAAGAACATTAACAATTCAGCTTTCAGTTCTAGAACTCTTGTCAATACTTTTCCTTTGGATAGCCATCTAACCTCTGTGTGATAAAGGAGATTGCGATGAAGCGAATCCATATCTTCACAAACGATTCTGAACAGCCGGGTTTGCAAGGCTTTACCTTTGATAGAATTCACAATTTTTATTACCTCCTTAAGCACGTCATTTAAATCAGAAGGTAAAACCTTAGCTGCTAGAGCTTGTCGATGAAGAAAACAGTGTGTCCATGATACGTTTGGCATTATTGATTTTAATTTCGCAACGAGGCCGCTATTTTTTCCAGTCATGGCTTTAGCGCCATCGCTACAAACAGCGATACATTTTTTCCAATCAATGTCGTAGTTGCAAGTACTTTCTAAAAACATATCGTACAAACACTGGCCAGTAGTGTTTGCAGCAAGGGCTGCACAAAATAAAATTTCTTCCATGATACTGTCATCGGCTTCAAAGCGCACAAATACTACAAACTGAGCACAGTCGGAAACATCTGTCGATTCGTCAAACTGCAAAGCAAAATGTGGGCTCTTGTTTAATTTTTCGACTACTTGCTCTCGAATATCATTGGCCATATCGTTTATTCTGCGTGAAATAGTATTATCAGAAAGTGGTATGCTTTTTAACTTATTTGCCTCCGGTTGGCCGACCATAATTTCAACCATATCTAGAGCTGCTGGCAAAATAAGATTTTCTGCAATTGTGTGCGGCTTTCCTGCTTTAGCGACTCGATATGCAACTTTGTAGCTAGCTAATAATGTTGATTTGTTGACAGTGGATACCTAAAATCAAACAAAAGAATATAAAAATAAGTAGGTAGACTTGGGTTGAACTTGAGCGTTTTTCAACACTACATGGAAACTAGTACATTATTTTATTACCTGAATCATAGTATTTTGCTGCTGACTAAGAACTTTCAACTTTCGTTCAAAGAAATCCAACGGCTTATTAGCTTCTTTTTGATGCTTGGTTGTGAGATGCCTCTTAAGTTTTGATGGTTTCATACTCTCACTTGATAAAACATCGCCGCAAATTACACATTGAGGTTTATTATTTATGGCTGTAAACCCGTATTTCAAGTAATTGTCGTCATAATGTCTCTTTTTTTTCGGTTTTGATGCACCTCCGCCACTGGCACTCATATCAGATGTTGACTGGGACCTTTTGAGAAACTTATCCATTTTGCAAGCGAAAAAACAAAACAATCACGTCCGTACTCAACGGAAACGCGCACGCAATTAGGAGTTGAGACAAAGAAAAATTCTGCGCTAGCGCGTTCGGCGCCGCTCGACCGCGGCGACAAATTTACCTGGTACTGCCTTTCATCGTTCTCGCGGCTTCTTACAGAGTGTAGGTCTTAATAACAAATACGGGTACCAAATTAGAGAAAATCATACGAAGTCTTTTTTTTAAATTACTAACATTTTGTCGGTCCATGGCTCAAGGGGGTCGCTAGAAATTTTCAACCTGTAAAGGGGTCTCGTTTACAAAAAGGTTGAAAAACACTGATCTAAATAAATCCACAAAATACGACTTTACGTTTTTTGTTGTAGGTAACATGTTCTTGTAGATATGCTTGCAAACGTTTAACGTTCGAACAAAGAAACTCACTATTTCGTCAATATTATGAAGCTGCTCACTTCGATAAGCAGAGTACGTTTCTTTTGGGGCTGATTCAAGTTATAAACATAGCTCGCAGAAGACATGGCACGTATGATACACCACAGGGAAGTCGTCGCCAAAGCACGGTTACTTATACCGTCCCAAATGGTAGTGGAGAACATGTCCAGGTTTGTCGAAAAACGTTTTCTAATATATTTGCGTTAAGCCACAAAAGAGTGCAAGTACTTGTTGAAAAGAAGAAAATGGGGTATACTACGTACACAGATCAACGTGGCAAAACAACAAAAATAAAAAAGTATTTGCCAGAAATGCGCCAGCATGTTAAAGACCA